CATTGAATAAATTATTGTTTGATTTTTACTAAATACTGTATAGAATTTATTAATAGAAGTTTAATTAAATATTTGATTTTGTTATTGACAAACTTTGTCATTATTTAATTCGGTGCACGCTTAAAGTCCAGGCCTGGCACACTAACGCGAATCCGCGTAAAGTACCCGTTAGGGAACGGCTATTTCCGGCACACAGTAGTGTCGATAATCGTTGGAAAGTCGGAAAAATAATATAGTACTTTACAGAAAGAGTTACAAGAAAAAAAAAAAAAAACACATACACTACACAAACATCTAGAAACGTTAAACCTTAACAAAAACATAAATATGGCACTACAGAAAGCTGCAATATTAAACACATATCACATTGTTAGAAAGTTTCTAGATGTTGACATGCATACCAAAAGCACACAAGCTTTTTGTAGCATTTATAATTGCCTTACAGTCCTTATTTTTAATTGTCTACTTGGACATTACTCATTAATTGGACTTTACACTGGTGTTTAAAAATTGATACAATAATCAATGATGAGGGGCATGTTAGCCCAAAACACATTTAAGTATACAGAAAAAATTACTACTACAGGTGATTTAATAAAGAAAATTTATTTTTTCTGAATTAACTCTCATTATTGTGTCAATTTTTAAACACTAGTGTAAAGTCCTATTAATGAGTAATATCCAAGTAGACAATTAAAAATAAATTTTTGTAGCATTGTTTGGGTAAATGAAGAAATAACTTCATAGCAAACAAGACTAGAAAGATTAATAAAAAACCTCATTCAACTTACAATATTTTTTGTTTCCAGTTCTGTTTAATGATAAACCAATGTTTAAAGACAAACATTTTCGATCTAGGTGAGACCTTCCTCAGGTCTATGTAAAATGAATGTGTTTTGGAATGTTAATGAATTTCAGGAAAGGGATGAAATACAAAAAATTGCAAAGTATTAATTGTAACTACAGAAAAAGGACAGGAAAAAGTATAAACATAAACATTAAAAATTAATTATGTCCATAAATAAACCTGTTACCGATGTGAAACTCAAATAAAAATGAAAAAACAGTTCCTCACAAATGCTTTCAAACCATAAACGGTTCTTCTTCAGGTGAACAGCGAAATTTCTGATGGAATGCAAGTAAAAAAGAACACAATATGAAATTTCATTTGGATGCATGCTTCATGATGTTATCCTATTGGGTATGCACACTTCATCTGGCAGCATTTGTTGAGAATTATAGGTCATGAAGAGGACCAAGGTTATCTCTAAAGAATTGAAATATCTTATGACTACAGTTTCAGTCTATTGTACACCATGCTAAATGTACTGGAAATCTACATACAAAACAATGTATATAGGCTAGAAACAGATTCTAAATTCTACAGACTGAATATTTTGTTGGTATATTTGTATAAAATAGAATGTGACTTTGTTAGTTTTGGTAAAGTACGTTGTGACAGAGTTAGAAAAAACAATACATATATCCATGATGAAGAGACACATCAAAAGAATGGACTAAAGTAAAACCATTTCATACTTGGTAAACAAATATTGAGCCTTGCTTGGGTAAAAGGCATCAGAAAGCAGTTTGCGAAGAAATGGAAGCAAATTTTATGATTTCTCTAATCATGTTTCTGAATTGTCTATGGAAATAATATGCATAAGATTATCAAATGAAAAATAAGGCCAACAACACAGACTATTTTGCATGAGTTGTTCAAAAGAGGCATGACTGCAAAAGACCTTCGGAAACTGTTCTTATAATAGCATCAACACAGAATACTTGAAAGACATCCTTGGAACCTTTTAAAGTCATCTAGGATGGTTTTGTTCCCCAAAAAATCTTATACTTTTCAAGAAGACTACACAAGATTACATGTTGTCAAGATAATACAGGCTTGATTTCAAAGACACTGCATTTCATATGCATTCAATCATAGTGAAAAAAACATGTAATTAAGTACAGAAAAATTATTTATTAATTTTTTTTTCTTCCATTTATCTTCTATTAGGTAAACCTGATAATGTCTATTATATATGGAAGAAAACCTTAGTTACAGTAAAAATTGTTTATTTTGCTGATTATTGGTGTCAGTGGTATTGTTTATTAATAAAAGTGATAATGTCTATTATATATGGAAGAAAACCTTAGTTACAGTAAAAATTGTTTATTTTGCTGATTATTGGTGTCAGTGGTATTGTTTATTAATAAAAGTGATAATTTTAATGATATCAATTACAACATTTTGAATTTTTGTGGAATAAAAACATTAAAGAAGATAAAAACACATTTGTATTTAGTATTAGTTATTTTTAGTATTCAAAATATTTAAATCTAAAATTTTAATATAAAAGAACAAAATTAAAATATTATTTTCATTACTTACAAAGTGACTTCTTCTCTTCCTATATGAAATAAAACATCTGTAGATGTGATACCAATAACAATTCCATCAATATTCATTACACAAGGATCAGGCATACATATTAACTGTTCAGACTGAAAAAATTTATCAATTGAAATTTTGTTAGGTTTTTTGCTTATCAACTGAAACAGATGATAAAATGTTTGCATTTTGAATAGCATTTTTATTAATTTTAAAGTTTGCATACCTTGTATTTTATATTAAATGGAGGAGTAGGATATACAGCATAATGATGAATATCTCTTAAAGATGGGATCAATACTATTTTGGTATTTATTCTATAAAAATAAATAAAGTTATAAAATATAGTATTCTTTTCTCAACAATGATAATATACATTTATCTGGTCTGTCTTACATAATGTTCAGTAGAAACAGCTAGCATTGTTTTATGCCAAAATTTATTTTTACTCTTTTATTATTATTATTATTACATTTATTTACTAACTAAACAATTATTTAGATAAATACAAATAACTAATAATAACTATAAAATTTCCAAAAAAGTTGTTTAAAATAAGAGACAAGTTTATTATTACTTTCTAAACATTTTCAAATTATACTAATATTATGTTGCAGAAAGCTTTTGTAGGGGAACCCAGGGTGGAATGGAAAAGATGATTTACATATGAAAGAGAGGTGAGGGAATTGCTTTGCTCCCTGTCCTACACTCAGACTGTGACAACACGTCAGTGTGAATACTTGGTTACCGAGATTCACTTTGTCATTGTCCAATAAAACCTTGCATCGTGTTTTTTTGATGAAATTACAAGTGTATCAACATTAAAACAATGAAAGTATATGGTATATTTTATAATTTAACCAAATTTATATAGTCTAGTTTATTAAACATTTGTTTGTTTGTATTTTTAGAATGAAATAATACAAAAAGTAATCATAAACTTTTTTCTCTACTTGATTTTTAGAAGCATGTGCTTTGGGGCACAACAGGTGGGGCACAAAGGGACAGTTTCCCATAAAGAAAAAGTAAAAAAACAAAGTCTAGTAAAAAAGAACAACAAGGGGACTATTACTCAGAAAAAGAAGACGATACAACTTGCCTTTACTGCACCGAGGCTTACTCACAGTTGATTGAAGGTTGTGTTCATATGTTGCATGCAAAAAATGGGCTCATATGTTGTGTGGGTTTTGGCAGTGACAATGACAATTCCGTGCTGGTTTGCAAGTTTTGTAAGCAACAAGACTAATATTTTTTTCTAATATTTGAGCACTAATCTCATACCCCATTCTGCCCCAAGTATGGAGCGGGACGGGATGTGGGCAAGCTTTTTTATAATCATTTATTTTTCATACAAAATTATTGATTTTTTTAATCTAATTTAAATAATTATGTGCCAAATATAATAAATAGAGGATATAATGTAATATTTTTGTTATTTTTCTTTTATTATTGACATAATTTTAACTTCTTCGTTAACTATCCCATTCTGCCCCGTGTTCCTCTAATTATTATTTGATCTAAATAATATTAATTTAGTTTTATAATATATCAATACTTTATTTCATTATAATAAAACTTAAATATTTACAAAAAATTGAAATAATTACCCTTTGATTGACTCTAACATAATTTCTATTTGTTGATTAAAAATTTCTTCAAAAGTTATAGAAAAATTTCCTCTCTTATAAAATATAATATAAATGTAAATAAATTAATAAAATAACATAAAGTTCTAATTTCATTTCTAATTTAAATGTTTATATACACTAAATTAATATTATTAATATTTGTCAAAAGTAAATCTATAAATACAACTACTGAGAAATGCAATGCTAAATAGTAAATACTCTAAAATTACCTTAAAAATTGCATTAATCACTTAATCTCTAACATTTTTAGCCATATTTAAAACATTCCAAAATATACAATTTAAATGTTGGTACCAGACTTTATAAGATGACTATAACTAATGACTATATTCCTGACTGGAGCTATTTTATATTGCCTACTAAAAGCATTTTTATAAATGAAACATTACAAACTCCAACTAAAAACTTGTAAAGTGATCATTCTTGCTCATCCTGACTTCTGGCACATACTACAATATTTAATTAACATTAAAGTTTCTTTCCAAGAGAACTAGGAATATTTTGAAATGCCAAAAGTTTTTATAGGCTTTGAAAATCCAAGAAATTAAAAATTTCCTAGAATTTTAATTCTTATTGCATCAAAAATAAAAAATTATAATGATATTAATCACTAAATCATCATAATATATTAAATCATTCTTATTCCTGAGTATATTTTTGAATAATGTGCTTTCTCACCACACCGGGTTATATATACTTCAAACCAACAACTACCTACAATTAACCATTAACCAGTGCGAAATTCTTTAAAATCGGCGAACGTTTTCGATTCCCCTCCTGGGATCTTCTTTTACGTATTTTTAAAAAACGTTCGAATTAAAGAATCCGGTTATAACGAAAGCTATAAAGAAGTAAGCCTGAAGAAGATCCCAGGAGGGGAATCGAAAAAGTTCGCCAATTTTAAAGAATTTCGCACCGGTTAATGGTTAATTGTAGGTAGTTGTTGGTTTGAAGTATATTTTTGAATACAGAATGACAATATTTACTCTTGTAGTATGATATTTACACTTTGAAGTCACAGACCCAATTGTCATCTATTATCCATAGTGTGGATTATGCTTGCTGCCTAATTTTAACTTTCAGATGTGAATCCTCAATGTCTAATCTAAAACTATTGTTAAGCAAAATTTTATTAATTCCAATAAAGTGCATGCAAAAAATATAAAAAGTGTAGCTACAAATTACTGTGCCAAGACTGGTCATAAGTGAGTTAATTTGCATTTACAAAAGATACACTCTATAAATAAAGTGACTAACTCAATTGATAAAGGAATCTGTATGTGTAGGGCAATTAAAGATAATGAAGTTTCTTATTGATATACAAATGCAAACATTATTAGTGTATTTTGCCAAAAAGGAAAAAGATATCTTACAAGTTAGAAGAAACTATCAAACTTCTTGCTGCTGATAGATTCTGTTTTAACATTTCTTTATGAATATGTAATTCCACAAAAGAAGTATTCTAGAAAGAACAAATTTTTGAATACTTCTTTTCTTTTATAATTGTAAATGCAATTATAATAAACAATTTTATAAAACAGAAACATATGGTAAAGAATAATTGCTTCCTACAAACTCTAATAATGTAGTAAATGTTATGTATAAAACTTTAAACTTGTTAAAAATTAAATTTCTGCAAAGCTAACAGCAAGATCAAAGTTTAGCATCTCTCTTGACAAATATTCATTATTGAAAAATAGAAAATATTTAATACAAATGGTCATGCAAATAAAGACAAATTTTGAAATAATAAAATTATTGAATCAAATGCTGTAAAAAATGTTATCAAAGAACAAAAAGCTAAAGTAAAAGAATCTAAAATGTAGAAATGAAGGATATTGGAATAATATATGCAAAAGAAGGTTAAAAATGATGGAGATTCAATTATACATTGGAATAAAATCCAATAAATAATATATAAAGAGGAAGATTCAATAAACTTGTACAAAATAGAACAACTATATAGTTATGCGGCAAGTTTGGATTATAAAACATTGAATAAAACAAGATACACATGAACTTATGAAATGAAAAGCTATAATAATATAAGAGGAAAAAAAAACAAGGCAAAAAAATTATTTATAAATGTTACGTACCAGTATAACTTTTAAATAAGTTTTTATGATTATTCATCAATTCCTGATGCTAACATTTCTATTTTTTCACCTGGCCACTGTAAGTGGCCCTTCACTTGCACATTCCGTTGGCTTTGCCTCTTTATTCACGTTATAGAGTATTCATAAAAATTTCATAATAGTTCACCCATTGCTTCTCCAGTGTTGCCATTTCTATTTTTTCTTAACAGAAAAAAGTGTCAAGATGATTTTAAGCTAAGTATTTTATTTTNTTGCAAAGAAACACAAATTGGCAGACATCCACGAACCATACTACAAGTATATTCCACAGACAGTATTGGAAAATAACACGCACAAAATGTATTACGACTGAGCCATAATCACAGATAAAACAATTTACCCCAACAGACCAGACATCACACTCATTGACAAACACAATAAAATCACATACACTATAGACATAGCCATTCCAAACACTCACAATGTACAAAACACATCCACTGAAAAAATTAGCAAGTACACAGAACTTGCCCAGGAAATAAGGCATCTGTGGAGGATGGATAGGGTGCTTATTGTACCTGTCGTTCTCTCCTGTACAGGTGTGATACCACACACGCTACACAAAAGCCTGGGAACATTATAATTGAGTAGAAATACATACATCACACTACAGAAGGCCACTATATTGAATACATGCCATATTGTTAGGAAATTCTTTAATACAGACACTGACACTGACACACACATTTAATTTTAGTTTTGTTTTGGCTGCTATGCCTTGACTCTGGCCCGGCATAGTACACAGCCACCGGTGTGAACTGAGTAAAACCCACTAAACCCAACATAATAATAATAATAATAATAACACATAATATACTATGAAAGAGCCATAATCATAAATTACAAATAAATTTGACCCTAGAAAAAGGCATTACATGCCATCTCGTATTAAATTTAATAATTATAATTTAATTAAATAATTTGTTTATATTTGTATATAGAGCCATAATCACAGATAAAACAATTCCTTACAATAAACCTGACATCACTCTCATTGAAAAATGCAGTAAGATCGCTTATATAATAGACATCTCTGTTCCAAACACTCATAACATAAAAAGTGCTCACACTGAAAAAATTAACAAGTACACTCTACTTGCTCAAGAATTAAGACAGATGTAGAGGATGGATAAGGTATTTATTGTACCTGTTGTCCTCTCTTCTACTGGTGTTATACCACATACGCTATGACAGCCGGATGGCTAAGCAATCAAGGTGGCAGCCTACTGCTTTCGGAGGACCCAGGTTCGAATCCTGATGGGTTGAAAAATCCCCAGGAATTTTTCGGGGGTGGTCTGTCCAGATATGTTGGGCCTGTCCCTCATCACCTGGCCACCCTATTGTGGGCCTAGTTGAACCCATAATGTGCTTGCTAAAAGAGGTCCTCTTAATGCCCACAGGGAAGAAATGTAAGGAACCAAGTCTGAGCTTTATTTTTATTTTACTTTTATTTTGCTTTCATTATATTTTGTTTGGGGCTTATGTTTAGTTAAGACGAAGGTTTCCTCACCATTCACCTTAGTAACTTAAAAATAGAAGAAAAACCAACTCACCGACGAAAGAAAAGCGCCGTAGAAAAACTCGCGCACACTTGCGCTTCCCAAGC